GCCCCCAGCCCAGATGGACCCCAGGGCTTCCTCCCCCAGCGGCCATCTTGAGCAGGCGGCAAGGGGAAGGCCGCGGCCATCTCGCCCCGCTTTGCCCCGACCGCAGCACGCTGAGGAGGAGGCCGCGGCCATCTTGCCTCTCGCTCTGCCTGAGGGCGAGGCCGCCATTTTGGAAGCGGGCGTGGGCCGCCATTTTGGAAGTGGGCGACTCCCCTGAGGCGATCCTGACCCGCAGGCCCCGAATTAACGGTTTTTCGCCCCAATTTCTCCCCTCTCCAACCTCCTATAGGCAAATATTTCCTCCCCAGAGCAAATTTCTCCAGAAGCAGTGAGGAAAATTGAAAGAAAAGCAGAGAAATCGTGGTGGTGTGTCCTCCATCTGCCTCACGCTTTTCCCGCAGCAAGATGGACACTCCCGGCACGGACTGTAAAACTGAGGGAGGGCTATCGCACGGGTGAAGGGAGGTTTGGGTTATTTTTCCCTGAATTCAGGTTCCTCGAGCTGGTCCGTGACACGGTGAAGAGGCCGGCGCAGCGGAGAGGCCAACACTGTGAAATCCACCCCAAATTAAAATCCTCTCTCCCACCTTCAAGCCAGAATCCCCCTGAAAATGGATCTCTGAAGGGGGAATAACGGTCTACGGGCAGCTCCTCCAACTTCTTTTTTGTAATATTTAATCCTTTACGTGGGAAAACCCAGCTGCTGCGTGACAGGTGAGTGAGCCCGGGGAAAAAATGTGCCCCTTTCTACAAAAAGCACTAATTCTGGGGAAAAATGGGCTGTGTTGAAGGTCTGCTGCGACCCAGGGCGGCTCCAAACCTGCCTGGCATCTTCTTTTGTTAACAAATAAAAGGTTTAAACCTGATAAAAAGCAAAGCCAGGCAAACTACCCACTGGCCGATCGCGCCATTAAGGCTTAATTAGGTTCGTGAAGCTGTGTTTTAAATTAATTAAACACCGCAGGCGTTGTTGGGGGGGGGTTTCAGGCACCCACATCCAGTCCTGGGGATGCTCCCTGCATTTCGTAGCCCAACCGCCAGGCTTTGGGGTGGATTAACCTGGTTTAGGGGCATCCCTGAAAATGTCCCTTCGCGCTGGCCTGGTGGTGAAAACCAAGGGGAAAAGCAAGAAAAACGGGAGGGTGTTTCATCGGTAGAATTTAGAAAAATTAAAATAGGAGATGGTGCACGTTGAGCCTGACAAAGCCACTTTGTTGTCGGAACTTGAGACACGAAGACGATCGTTTTTAGCGATTATTAATCTACAATTTAACAGCAGGTGCTTAACAGAGGCAGGCTGAGGAGGCGTGGCTGAATTAACGTGCATTTAAAGTTTATTTTCAGGGAAGTCTTGGGATTATGGAGCCCCG